GCCCAAAACTTCACATTTTCATCAAACAACCCAAAAATTCCAGCTTTACCCACATGTAACCACAATCAAAAAATTCTCAAGATTTTCATCAAACCCCAAAAACCTGAAAAACCCCAATTCCTTCAATCTCAGCTTAAAATCATCAAACATTTAAACAACCAAGGAGTTCTTAGAACTCATTTTCAGCCAAAAATCTGCAAAAACCTAGCTTCCCTTACCTCGGCGAAGAATCCGAGCTCCGGAAAGAGAAAACGGAGAAGAAGATGAAGGACGGACGGAGATCAACGGGAATGAGAACTTCAACTAGCTTTCAATCACGAAAATCAGCACCTACACACCCAAGAATCCAGAGGAAGTGGAACCAAGGCAACCAGGAGAGAGAAGAGTGAATAACAAGAGTGAGAGTGAGCAAAGTGAGGAAAAGGAGAAAAGAGAGAAAAGGGGGTTACGGGGGGTCTCACAATCTCCGAGCTGATATGCGTGACAACGCATTATTTTTTACTGTTGTTTTTGCTGAATGATGTGAGCTGTATATGTGATGAGTTGTATGTTGATGATTGCTGAACTAGATGATGTGCTGATAAGCTGTAGTTATTTATAATTGTTGTACTTATATATCTATATATGCTTATTCTTTTCACTAGCTTACCCTTTGTTGTTTCCATGTGGTTTGGACTGCAATGATCATATTGTGTATGGGAGCAGAGCAGGGATATGTTGGTGTCTTGAGGCAGGTCTGTAGCTGACAGATACAGTGAATGTATTTTGATATTTTGTTGTTTTAGCTACTTAGTGTAGCAATTGGACTGTATTTTGTACTTTGATTTTTTTTAAGCCCCAGGCTAGACATATTGTATATACTTTATTTGGATATATGTATGTTCTATTCTGCGTGGTACTGGTATTGTTTGCTGTGTGACGGCCAAGCGAGTGGTTACAAAAAATATTTATTAGATTTCGTTATCTGGAGCATATGAAAGATTTCTTTATATTATTTTTCTTGTGAAAACATTTTAAAATATTTTTTCTTGAGTGAAAATATCTTAGTTTGTAGTCTTTAATGTATTGTTGCAGTAAAAAAAATATTGTTAAAAAACTTAAAATTATATATTTGCGATTTATTGAATTAATCGTGATTAAATTGTAATTGAAATGATTATAATTAAACATATTTAAATATCTTACAATATATTGAAGAATAAATTAATATAACATCATTACTAAATTAGATAAAACTTCAAATTATCATATAAAAAATTATTACATTCTTAAAAAAAATTTATTATGAATGGTTAAATATATCCAATTACTAAAACTTTAAACCATAAAAACCTCTTAATTTATATAATTAATTAATGAAATAAATATTTAATGATATCTATTTTATTATAAGTAATATATATATATATATATAGACATTTTTTATTTTTAAATTAAACAAATCTAACTATCTTTATATTACTTGAAATAGATGAGTATCCCCTCCCGACTTCTTGCATTTACAAAAGTTAGAATTTGAATCATAATCACCTGATTAAAAGACGCATGTCTCTCACTATTTGTCAACTCAAATTAGTGTATGTACGAGTACTAAGTCTATATATTATTATATTTATTCCATGTTACTTAATTAGAATATAATAAATTAAAATAATTTTACAAATTTGTAATTTAATTAATATTTTAAAAGTAAAAAAGAAATAATTATTTAAAAATAATTACTTATAAAAAAAATTATTTAATTTTCATACAGATTCAAAAAGAGAAAAATAACATTTAAATAAATAAAATTAAAATTAAAATCAAAATAATAATTAATAGGTTGTAAAACCTTAATTATAATATTAAATGATGTGTCAATTAAATATACATGTCATATATTATTGGACAATAATAAAGAAAATATTAAAACACATATTTTTATAACATGCATCGCATCGAAGTGATAGTCTCCTAATATTGTATAACACCAAAAAGAATATATTTTTTTACTACTGTAACACATGTAATTATTGTTTGTACATTCACTGCATTGTAACGCAGGTAACTAGAGGTTATTTTAAATTTAATCTTAGTTTTGTGTATGAAATAATTATATTAAAAAATATTTATTCTCTATATTATTACAATTTTCAACAGAAATTAATTATTATTTTTATAATGAATACATCATATTAATATTATAATTAAAAATATATAGATAGATAGATAAGATAAATAGAAAGTTGTTGGACATTAAATATAGTTTTTGAAATATTTGATTATTTGAATCATAAAATTGGTATATAAATATAAAAAATGATTGGAAGAAAGGCTTTTGGAGAGTAGAAGCAGATAATAAGAGGGGCCGAAGCAGAAGTCACAAAGGGCATGCAGGGATGAAGCCATATGGGAGCAGAGTCATTAATGCCAAAGGAATGTACAAAACCCATTTCTCTTTGTTGGTTTTTTTTTATAAAAAAATTAAGAAAAATTACAAAAATAATTAAAATGAGGATTGAATATAGGTCTTCATGCTTTTAATTACCCGATCTCTCCCTATCCAATGACTAGTAGTTCATTTTTTTTTGTAATCACAACCAATCTCAAACAGATGCTCGAAAAATAAAAAATAAAAAAAGTCAAAAATAATGGCGGGAAATAGTTCATCTATAAGCTCACATCTACCCAAATCCTACACAGATTTTCTTTATTTACTTTCTTCTTTATATATTCCTGTGAGAGGCAAAAATAAATAAATTTCTCTCGACCACCTCAAATTATTTTTTAATCTTTATTTTTATATTAATTGTCCATCTTTTTTATATACAATATCTTTTTTATTTTAGACACACACATATTTGTATGCTGTCCTTCTGTTTTGTCTTTTGATATTTGAAAGCTTCTTTTTTGTCTTTATCTATCTATATAGGAAAAAGGAATTTTAAAATTTTTTACAAAGCTCACTTGATACTTTTGTTCCCATAAAAATTTAATAATCAATTACAATTTAATTGTGAAATACATATTAAGTTTAAGATTTAATACAGGAAGATGAGTTATTGATTTCTAACTCTAGTGTTGAACTTTAAAAATAATAAAAATGCTACATATTTTGTAATAGCTTTAATAATTTCATATTAATAATATTTTTTTATTCATATATATGTGCCTTAAAGTTAACAATCAAACATTTATATATACTTGTAAGATGTAATTTTTGCAAACTATGTATTATTTCAATCACTGAAATTAATTTAATAATAAAGAGTTGAATAATATACATAAATTTTAAGTTTAAATCTCTTCGTAGTTATTACAATTATCATTTATTTCATTAATAATCATAAACCTTGTAGACTATCTCATTAATAATCATAAACTTTGTAGAGTATATGAATTGTTGTTAATTTCGTTATTCCATACTGTTTAGCCTGAGATATTAGGATACGTTTCTAAGCAAAATGAGAAGACAAGTTGAGCACAGCACATGCTAGTTGGGTTCATTAATATGTGAGTTGTAACCCTCGTGACATGAATAAAATTTGGAAATTAAACTTTTATACATGTAGAATGGTGTCACTTGTACCTTCACCTATGTCCCATCATAATAAATGTGCGAAAACAAAAGTTACCATATATAAAGAATTATCAAATATGTAGGCCATAGCTTGATCTATATCAACCATCTCTTTGGGCCAGACCAGATTTATAGGATTCTTATCCCTATCTCCATGCCTTTAAACTATACCACAAGACTTTTATCTCATCACCGTTATATTGTCCTTCCTAGGGACTTCAATGAAACTCATTAGCTGCATCAACTACTTTTTGTACCATCTCCACTAGAGCTATCAAAACGGGTAACCCGACCCGGCCCATTACGGGTTGAGCATTTGGTGGGCTAACCCAACCTGGCTCATTTATTAGTGAGCTTAAAAAAATTGAACCCGGTCCGGCCTACCACGGGTTGACTCACCTAATTTAAAAAAAAATGTAAAACCCTAAACCCTAAACTGAGAACAAACCAAATTGGCAAACTTCTCGCGATGGGCTCACCATGCGTGCGGCAGCTCGCGGTGCGCACGGTGGCTCGCGGTGGCTCACGATGCTCGGTGAGCACGGTGCCTTGCTATGCGGTGCGGTGGCAGCTATGCGGTGCGGTGTGGTGGCTGGTGCGGTGTGGTGGCAGCTATGGTGGCTAGTGCAGTGTGGTGGCAGTTATGGTAGCTGATGCGGTGTGGTGGCTGCAACTATGGTGGCTGTGCGGTGCGGATTGAGGGTGTGAGAGTGGAGGCTGTGCAGCTATAGATTTTTGAAGTTCAAATTGAAAAATGAAACCCTAATGGGCTGCATTGGCCCAATAAGTATAGGTTTTTTTTTTTACGAGTTGGTGGGTTAGCCCGGCTCACCACGGGTTCAACTCGGGTGAGTCGGGTTGTTAGTGAGCCGGGTTCAAAATTGACCCGTATTAAAATTTTTAAATTTTTTTTGGCCCAACCCGGCTCGAACCCATGGTGGGCCGGGTTGGCTCACCGAGCTGAGCCCACTTTGACAGCTCTAATCTACACACAGATGACACAAAACATATATGTATCTAGCTTTTAATTAGGTTTTTCATAGTTGAAATCTTAATCTTAAATATCAAAATAAGATATTAAAAAAACACACACCTTATAATTTATTCTCCTTTTTTTTACAAGGCAAAATTTCATTCAATAAATAGAGATTCTTTTAATCATAAGATGTGACCAAAAGAGTTTATAATATTATCGGTATAAGTTAGAATACTTACAGCACAAGACCAAAGCATAATAAGTAATACAGAAAAAAAATTTCATCTCAAACTTTACAAACAGATGAGTCACTAACGATTAATAATGATCGTTTCATATAACTAATACCATAGTTGAAGAAAATTATTTTTTGTGAGACACTCTTGATCGGAAACTCTTTCCATTGGATTAAAACAATAATGAGAAAGCCTTCTTAAATTTAGAAGAAGAAAAAATGCTCCAACATATTCATAAACCAACCATAATACATTACAAAAATTAACAAAAGAAAATAAATGTAAAAAAATTTTACACTGTCAATCAATCATAGATAATTATGTATGATAAGTTTGTTAACTTTTATAACAACCGATTTCAAAATCATATCTAACATGATATTTGATTGATTGAGTTGGACTAATAATGCATAGAAATTAAACTGAGTTAACATTTGGAGAAGGGAAACTAAGACTTTTAAAGGTGGTGAAGCCTCCATCCACAATGAGGTTGTGGCCTGAGATAAACTTTGCTTCATCTGATGCCAAGAACAATGCAGCCCTAGCCACATCAATGTCCTCACACGTAGCACCTTTGAGCTCTCCAACCCCATTCACAATACCCACAATTTGTTCTTGGGTTAAGCCAGGGTAAAATTTTCCTAATTGGGCCAAAACCATAGGTGTAGCAATTGGAGCTGGGGATATGCAGTTTATCCTTATCCCAGCTTTGCAAAGCTCACTAGCCACAGATTTCACTATCCCAGGAATAGTGGACTTTGATATTGTATAAGGATGAGGCCCAAGCCCACCCATGAGCCCACTTATGCTTGATGTGCATAGAATGGACCCAGAGCCCACTGGTATCATGACCCGGGCCGCATGCTTTATGCCTGCAATCATTCCCCTAATGTTGATCCTCATGACCCTATCAAACTCATCAAGGTCCAGATCTGCTATGCTGGGTGGAAACGTTGGGCCTGCGATGCCAGCATTGTTGTACATGATGTCCAGCTTGCCGTAGTGGGCCACGGCCACATTCACGGCCTCTGCCACTTGGGCCTCCACAGTGACGTCGCATTCCACGTAGCGGGCTGATGGGCCCAGCTCTTTTGCAGTCTGTGGGCCAAGTTGGGTGTCGTTGTCAGCAATGATTACTTGGGCCCCATGTTGGACAAACTCATGGGCCGTGGCCTTGCCGAGTCCACTTGCGGATCCTGTTATGAGTGCCACTTTTCCCTCGAGCCTGCTTTTTGGAACCGAAGTGAATGAATGTGAATCATGATGGGCGAAGAAAAGAAGAATGGGAATAATGGAATACTCATAAATCATGATGGCCTCTATCTAAATAATGCTATCAGCTTTATCTCTACGTCTAAATCAGAAAGCATCGTTTCTTTTTCGCAAAGGTGGAGGATGATGTCGTGGACCAAATTCCCTTCCTACAAGATTGATTAAGATTGCTTATTTTTTAAAGGACTTGAAAAAGTAAGTGCAAGAGAAGTACCCTTTGATAATGGGGTTTGCTTTCAAATTTTAAGAATATCAATCTTTGACTTCTTTTGTTCTTTTTATATACCTAATATGGTATGTAAAATGAAAATTAATCATATGATCAATTGTAATCTAATTAAATCCACTACCAATAACTTACAAATTCGGATTCGTGGCTTACCAAGCAAAAATTAATGTATAAAATAAAATTGTTTTAGGTTTTTATATAATATTTTCGTCATATTGAATTAAAGACTAATCTGTTTATAATAGTGAGATTGCTTTTAATTTAAAAGATTTTTGTACATAATAAACATCAAAGACAACATTTTCTATTAAATTAAGCATTTTTACAATATGTGAATGCAATATCAACCTATTAGATTGGGTGTATAAATGGATTGAAATTGTTTTCAAATTTTTTGTAGGGTTTGGTTCCTTTATTAGATGGGAAATATACAAGGATGGAACCAAACAAGAAATCACTTAACTTGCTGACACGTTAAAAATAAAATTGGACAATTATATCACGTTAGCTGTTTGTGTTTGGTGGATCTACAGCATGGGAACATGCAAATTGGAGGCAGCTAGCACCATTTGTTCCATGTGCTTTACGGAAATCCGTTGTCTTAGTTTAAAATAATTTCAATGTCTCTGTTAACTTCAAAGGACCTATGTACTTAACTATGTATTCTACAGTGCTTTGCTTTTCATTTGTCAACGCCACTTAGTACTATCTAAAATTGAATTATGTAGTAGTGGTCTTAGATTTGCAGCAACCTTTTTTCTGTTTGCTTTCTTCTTTTTTTTTTTTATCTAATATATGCATTCTATTAACTGTTGACAACTGGAATGTAAATAGTGATTAGAGAGAGAGAGAGTGATAGAAACAGAGTTAGAATGGGTAAGAGCATTTCCGGTGGGGGTTGTTTATCTGTGCCACATAAGCTCTGGTCTACTTTATAGGTTGTTTAAATTTTAGCAAAGTTGCTTGCCCATAAAATGGACTAGAGCTGATGTGATGTGGCACGACAACCCCTACTGAAAATGCTCTAAAGATTTCATCCAAAGTTTAGGGGAAAAAAATTATATATTATTTAATTATTTGATTTTCTTCTCTCTTTTTAGTTTTAAAAGCTGTTTTCTAGAAGAATTTCACACCATTCACCATTTTTTTCGCATCCAAAATCTATTATTAAATTCTTAAAATTGTTTTGTTTTAAAAGTTAAAAATAGAAACAATTGAAAAATGTTTTCTCATCTTTTTCTTCAATTTTGTTGTCCTAACTCGAGTATGGATCATGAATAGTAATTATGTTGCTTTTGGTAAAGAATAGAGTGTGCTACTTTCACAAATATTCATGATTTCAAAAACTAAAATCAGTTTTTGAAAATAGAAATCAAACACATTCATGATTTTTATGCAGTGAAATATGAATCAGAAAAAGTTAATTCCAAGAGCCAACAAACTTGAAAAGCTATATGACAGGAAATTGAAAAGTTAATAAATGAAACCATGCTCCACACTAATCAACCTCGTGTAGATTTAGAAAAGTAATCGCAGCCCAGAAAATAAAAAGAAATTAGTGTAATTCATTATAGGAAGGAGTTAGTATATAATTAATCTTTTCAATGATGAAATTATCTATAAGTTCACAATACATCAAAGACCAATTTACATAAAGCTTTAAGATTAAAACAACATAAATCATGTTAAAATTATATTTTAATTTAAGTAAGCTTTTTTATTTGAGTTTTGCATATAAAAAAATGTGGTTAAAAAAAAGACACTATTAAAAGTAATAAGTCAGATTTCTCGATAAAAATTAATTATTAATAAATATTTTGTATCAATATTATAATTATAAAAAAAAATTATATTTGAACTCTTTAGTCCTTACAAAGAATTTAGATAACAGCAGTCATTAAATGAAGGAGAACTTAAAAAAGCAACAATTAGAACAAATTAAAGAGGCTTAATGAGACTTACCTTCTTCCACCAACCAAAGTTGCATAGAATCTGCTGCGTTTTTGAAGCAAATCATTGGCAAGGGTGGTGAGCTTGAAGTCCCTGAAAAAGACCAAGTTATAAAATCCATATATAGTTGCAAGAAATTGACAAGACATTGAGGAATTAAGGTTTGATATGAGAAAGGAAGATGAAGAACCTGGCTAGTGTTCTAAGCATAGCGGCTTGAAGATCTGAGGAAAAGAACAAGAGGTGTGGTGTGTGGAGTTTGGCGGATCTCAGGTTGAATTGAAAGCACAGAAAGAAATGAAGGTTGATGAGTGTATTTATGGAAGGAGTAGCAAACGTTTTTGTCTCATGTGCTGTATATATTATTATTAAACATGAATCAGGACTAACAACACACTTCTAATGCTGTCATTTTATTTTATTTTTTAAATTATAATATATAATCAAGATGAATAATATTATAATAGATATAATATTTATGGTAATAACGTATGTATTTGATGATATTTATGTAAAGTATATGTAAGTATTAAATAGTACTACTATTTAATGCATTTATGAAATATACAATATATAATTAAGGACTTATAAAATAATTATAATTTTTAATTTTTTAGAATTCTCTCAAAATCTGATCATATTTAATTAAGAATTCTTTTACTTAAAAAAGTATGTTGATATTCAAACAAATATAAAAAGTTCAGAATATTCTTTTGAATAATGGATTTTGTGAAATTTTTTAGTATAACTTATATGTAATTTACTCGTCAAATAATCTCATTAAAATTTATGAGATTTTGCATGATTTTTTTTTATTTCTATTTTTTTTCTCTTTATTAAGTTTTCTCTTTCACCTTTCTTGCTTCTCTTTCATATTCTTTTTTTCTCACATTATTTCCGGTCATTTTTACTTTTTTCTCTTTTTTTCTTCTTTATCTTTTTTTTATTCTTTTCTCTCATTTATATCTTTTTTTTTCTTCGTCTAATATTATTTTTTCTCTCTCCTTCTCACTCGTATTTCTTGATTTTCTTTCTTTTTCTATCTCTTTTTCTTTTTATTCATCTCTCTTATTTATCTCTTTTTCTTTTCCTATATTTTTTATCTATCAATTAATGCATAATTTATAAATATTTTTAAAATTATTAAATATTTAAAATAAATTTTTATTATTAGATATTATCTATTATTTTTTTTAATTATTAAAATTTAATCGATTACTTTTAATAAAATTTAATGTTGAAATATAAAATTTTGAAACATATTAAAAAGACTTTGTAGGTAATAATAACAACCCTCAAAATGAAAATAAAGTTTTTAATTCATGTCATGCATCTTTAAGAAATGTAGTTAAGAAGATATTTAATATTTTTAAACAAAGCTTCACAGTCTTTAAGCCAAAGTTTCTATTTCTATTTAAGACACAAGTTGAACTTGTATTAACATGTAGCACTACATAACTTTCTCCAAAAAAAATGTTATGATGAATTTTTAATTGAATTGGTGGATAAATTTTCATCTTCAGTACTACCAATTAATGAAGACCATAATGTTGATCATATTGTCCAGATTTAAGTGCATGAAAGAAAACAAGTTAATGCATAGAATGTTAATATAACTTTAGATATGTGAAGAAATGTTAGTTAAGGGGACATTAAAGTCAATTATTTGTCAAAAGATAGAGGCAATTATTTATAAAATAAAAAAAAATTATTTTACTTTTCTTTATTATTTATGTTATAATTTTTTTATTAAATCTTGTAGCATCACAAATCCATGTTTTTCTATCAAATCCACAAAATTCTTTAAAATCTTATAATATAAATCCATTAAAATATGAATTACAAAGTCTTGATTAAAATAAATTTATAAATATTTTTAAAAAAATTGTAGAAGTCATGACATTCTTACAAAGTTTTTTAAAATCCATTAAAATTTATAAGACTTTTTCACGTAAAAATTATTTTTTAAAATCTCAATCTAATACAACTCCATAACTTTAACGATAACTTCAAAATAAACTACTAACTTTAACAATATAAACAAATATAATATTTATGAAATATAATTTATTTAATAAAGTATGTATTTAATGATATTTATATAAGTATTATTCTCTCTATTTTTTATTATAAGCAAAAAAAATATTTAAATATTACTTTTGTCTTGTTTAATGATATTCTTAATAAAATATATTTTATTTAATGCATGATCCTTCAATTGCACTATTTCTTATGATATTATTAACAAAAAATAATTTAAGAAGAATATTATAGAATTAGTAAAACTAGATTGATAACCGAGTGACACACAAACTTGTTTTTTAATCAACTCAAAATGTTATTAATATATCATTAACTTATAATAATGTGTTGTTTTTTAATTAAAAAAAATTGTGTTTCCACCTACTAATTGTAAAGCCTAACAAATTATTACACAATAATCATATTCGAAAATATGTAAATCATAACATACAATCATAACCTAAAAAAGCATATTAATTTAATGTTGCACTTCAAATTAAGGACATAATTATTGTATTCATTGTTCCAAAATAAACACCAAACAAAATTAGAACATTAAAATTTAATTAAAAACCTTTCAAATCTCTCAAGTAGACATAATTTTAGCTTCAATCTTTAGTACAGAATTTGGGTTTACAACATGAATTTTAATATTTCTACTTTTTTAAAGTTGTTTGCCACACAATACTTCTTTTGGTCAACCTTTAGATAAAATTCTCCTTTTCTCATGTCTTTTCTTATTTCAGGTACAAACCTTTTACCTTCTTTGTCAATTATGATAAAATATTATTAATATGTTTATTGATATGAATTTATTTTTAAATATAAATTAATTTTTGAAACTGATAATAAATTATGATGAATAAAGATTATCTTAAAATTTGTAGTTTAAAACAAATATTCAATATATAACTAATTCAAACAAATAATTATCCTAAGAAGTTATTTTGAAAGCTATCCCTTACAAAAAAAAATGTCCCATGACTTTTTTTGCATTGCAAGATGTGATCAAAGTATAAAATATCATTAAACATAAATATCATTTCTTCAACTTTTTAAAATTGACATAACTTGCTAATAAATTATACATATAAGAGAAAAAGACTAATTAAGTATTCAATTAAATAAATATATTTTTGTTATTTATTTACATTATTACTTGTGACTTACATGAAAATTATCCACAAAATTTATTCACTAGGTACATATAAATCATTTAAAGTTAGCTAGATGGAGGATGAGATTAGAAGACTCAAATTTTTTAATTATTTAGTACCGTAAACGAAGAATTTGATATAGTTAAGTGCATAATTAATTGTCATTAAATAAATGAATTGTATTAGTTAGTTAGGAGTTGTAAACAAAAAATATTTAATAAAAAGTAGTTGTAGTGGGTATATAAAGTATTAAATGAAAAATGGGCAAGAAACCACAATTAGAGAACTATTTTGCTTTATATATATATAGATTTAGGATTTAGGGTTTAAAAAATATTAAGATTTAATATATAGATGGATGATAAGTTTAAAAGGCTTAAATCTTTTAATTAGTTAGTAGGAGAATTTGACATGGTTATATGCATAATTAATTGTCATTAAATAAATAAATTGTAATAATTAGTTAGGAGTTGTAAATAAAAAAACATTTAATAAAGAGTAGTTGTAATGGGTATACAAAGTATTAAATGAAAAATGGGTAGAAAATCACAATTAGAGAACTACTTTGCTTTATATATATTAAAATTTAATGCTAATAAATAATTTCCTTAATGTGCATAAAATCATTTTTTTTTACTTATAATAGAAAACAGAGGGAGTAAATAATATTATTATTTATTACATTTATTAAATAATCCTGGACCATAAATATTTTATTTTTAAGGTTTTTGAAAACTCCTTAATAAACATTTAATATCAATATATTATTGTTTTATTTTTATCATGTTGATACTTGCCCCTAAATCAATAAGAACTTTCTTCACCATCAGATTCCTTATAGTTATGGGAATGGTAAAGCTTCTAGAATCCTTAAGCTTTAGAAGCAATGGTTTTTGAATGATAGCTACAATTTGCCTTAAGCTCAATCATGTCTTACTTTATGAATTGTTTTTTCTTTATAAGCCACTCCTTCATAAAATTGGCATAAATAGGCATTTGCTACAAAACTTTTAAAAAATGAGATATCAATCTAAAATATCTTGAGATAGCTAGAAGTTGAGCATATTACCTTTCCTTATCTTTGTTGGTGGGTACAAGATGATATGATAATTCTTTCACCAAAGGCAGTTGTGTATTCATCATTTTCTCTATAATGTTTCATTTTTTTTTATTCTCCATCTCCCTTGTCTACCAATCTTTCTTTTTCTTTCAAAAAAAATTATCAATTTTTTCTCCCTTATCTTCCTCACTAATCACTCCCTAATTGCTTTTCTCACCAATCTCTACACCATACTTTTTCCACTTCTTATAATGATGGCACTACAATTTTTGTTGGGGTCCATATTAATATATGTAACAAACTTAATAGAGAATTTTTTTTATCTGAGTAGAAAGTTGTCTCATTTTTACCTTCAAATCTCTAATTGTAACCTGTGTTCTTTTGATTTAAAGTGGAGGTTTGTATGAATTGGTTAAGGCTTTTCTCTAGCGTTAACTAATGGTCATACAAATTAGGCTTAGGTTATAGAGCAAGTGCAACAGTGCATACATTATTTTAATTCCACCATCTAAGACTATGGGCTGTTATTATCATCCTCCTCTATTTGTAATTTCCACCTTGATTACCATTATACCTTCCTTGACTACCCAAGTAATTGACCTCTTGCTGAGGTTCTTCTACCATTGCCCCACAATGGCCTTGAGCATGTGTGCCACCACATATCTCACATCCACTTAGATGATAAACAGAGGCATGAGTAAGTGCATGTTGCATTTGTTATGGAAGTCTCTCAACCATCTTGTTAAGCATATCAATTTGTCAAGCACCTCAATTTGTGGAGCTTGTTTTTTTATAGAAAAAATGGCTTCTTTGGGTCCTAGCTCATAAACTTTATTCAATGATGCAAACCTCGACCTCTGGGAATTACTGTGATTGCTAAAGCTTAATGATAATCATAGCTTCGCCTAATGTCTTATAATTAATGTTACCTCCAGCTGAGGCATCTAGGATTAGTTTTGTTTCTAACTGTGGCCCACCTAGAAAAGATACATATGTGGTCATACTTATTAAGACGATGGCTTGAGCAATTCGTGAGCAAAATCTCTAAATATATCCTAGACTTATAACAACAATATATTCATCAACTCCCTATA